ATATTTTCACTTTTTTACCATCTATTCTCTCTAGAAAATGTTGAAAATGATGAAAGGTAATTTTAGTAAAATTTTAAGTAACTCTGCTTTTTTGGCCATATTTCTGGTATTTCTTTAGTTATTTTTATAAAACTTCAATTTATTTAAGGCTGAGGAATGTTTTAAACAATAGCTGAGATTTTTTTAAATATATCGCTATTACAAGCATAGTTATAGCCGAAAAAATATAATAAAACACAATTATCCCAATTTGGGCAATTTATAACTTTTACATACTTTATACTATATCTCTGGTATTTGATGAGTTATGTCAACTAAATTTAGCGGATATAAAGTAAGATATCTTCTCTTCAAAATTTGAAATATATCATTAAAATATGTAAGATATTTAAAAATTATAGTATTCGGAATACAATTGTTGAAAAATGTCAATATTTTGGAGATTTTAAGCACTTGCTTTATTTTGCCTATATCTCTAGTATTTAATTGGATATTTAGCCATTTTCCTTTTATTTGAGCCAAATACATTGGCTTGTAAACTCAAAAAATTTTATAGATATAACTCTTTTACTTTTAAAGTTATAGACTTTGGAAAACGTAGCAACGCAAATCTCAAACATTTCATAATTGTTTATTCTTGCTTTCTTTTCGTAATATCTCCGCTATTTTATCAGTTACATAAAAATAACATTTACTATAATTCATCTGATGTCCCTGCTTTATAAATCAAGAAAATTATATAAGATATATGAATATTTTTCATTGTTATGATCCTTACAAACCGATTACGGAGAAATACTTGAAATTTGCTGGATTTTGGGGACCACTACACTTTAGGCCATATCTTAGGTATTTCGTTAGATATTACAATCAAAATTATTTCTGTTTAGAGATATGATATCCATTTCTCAAAAATAATGAATCATAAATATGGCAAATATTGATCTTTACAAAAAATATTACAAAAATGGAAGTCATGAAAAAATGTTTAAGTTCATAGTTTTTGTTATAACTCGTGAATTTGTTCAGCTATATGAATATTATATATATTGCATATAAAAACTATTTGTTCTTTCTTACAACAAAAAATTATTATTTATATAATCTATTTAGTATAACAAAATATGTATCGTTTTGAAAACATTAACAAAAAGTTTATAAAAATTCGTCTATTTTCAATATTGGCTTTCTTTTGGCCATATCTCTGGTATTTGCTTATATATTACATTTAGTTCTTTTTGGTTTATGACTCACAAATCTTCGTTTGTAAAATGATGTTATTTTACTTAAAAAAAATGATTATATCAAAAGTTGTGGTCTAAGGAATGGCATTACGAAACAAATTCGAAGTAATATAAAATATTGTACTCTTCTAATTTTTGATCATATCTCTGGTATTTAGTTAGATATATTCAAACGACTTATATTATTTTTGAAAGCCGATACCATGCATCAAAAATTCAAGTTATTGCTGTGAAATATTTTAATTATTTCAAAAGTTATGGCTCCTCAAATTACAGTACTTAAAAATCTTTACAAATTGTACATTGTAAGTAACAATGCTATTTACAGCATATCTTGAGAATTTGGTTAGATATTTAAACAAAACTTGGCGTTATTAATAGAATGGAATGTCTTCTTTCGAAAAATATAACAAATTGATCAACATATGTCTGTTATTTGTAAATAATGGATCCTGAAATGGAATTGTGCAAAAAATACAATTACTTGTTGGTTCTCGTTATTTTTATTATTTTGTTCATATCTCTGGCATTTTAGTAGATATCTTCACTCGGTTCAATTTAATTTAAAGACTGGATCATCTACTTTTGATATTAAATTTGGAATAGAGGGCCATCGTTGATACTTTAAAAGCTATCTTTGACTGAAAATCATTACCTACAAATAAAACTGTAGGAAATTGTTTTACTCTTTACACTAGAGCCCCGATTTGCGTCATTTCGATTGGAATCGTTTTCTAAAAACTATCAAGATTTTAACATTTGTTTATTTCTTTTGAAAAAATCCCCCAATGTATTACATTTTAGTGCATTTTCTTTAAAGAAAATGTGATTTGCATCTCCTTACTCCGATGCCTATTAACAAGGCAAGTTGGGGCTCTAGTGTATTTTAAATTATAAATTAATACAAATTTAGCAAAATTTCTTCTTAAACATTTTGTGCTTAAAAAAAAAATGTTTCATTCAAGTTTCTCACTTTTCATCTCACTTTCTGTATAATGTGACAAGTTAGCAGTTTTCTTGATCTCTTGGTGATCTACAAATTGAATGAATTGCTTTCGAAAATATTTTAAGTTATTTTCTTTTGTTTTGCTTTTTTCACATATTTTTTTCCTGTTCACTATTAAACATTTTTTTCCGAAAATAAGATAGATTTTCTTGCCTCTACGCTGAGTTCATTAAAATAAATCTCAGCATTTGTTACTTTGTTTTGGAATTCCCTGTAGCGTTGGGCTGGCTGGCTGGACTGGTTTATTGCTGTTGGTGATCGCACAAATCCATTATTTATCCCATTGCAGCAATATCTCAATTCTGAAATAATTAACGATGTAAAGATTACAAATGTCAAACATAATGTCAACTTGAATTTAAATGTTAAATTTCATTACATTTGTTTTATTTGCCTGTGATTCTGGCATTCTTTTTTACGCCTGGCCGGTAGTTGGCCACACATAAATCCAGGGTGTTGTACGAGTTGTTGTTCTTGTTGTTATGAGATTTTCCCTTATGGTAGAGGAAAACAAGAATGAATGACTCTGTGACTGCTTGCTTGGCTGGATGACGAATACCCTACTAAGTACTCTATTATGTTTGGCTTAGCAGCTCCCCGTGGCCTGTCAGCAAAAATGTTGCGTATGTTTCCAATTTGTATTTTACATGTCAGATGTGTGCTCGGGTGTGTGTGGGTCTATGCGAAGAAAATCATCACGGATTGTAAATGGGATTTATGGAAAGAAATTGCGAATGCGACTATTTTTTTTGGTTGCTCTCACTTTTTTCTGGTTTCTGCAAAAAAATTACGTGATTTCGTTGTGTGAAAAGATGCAAAGAAAATCCATCACAGCCATCGCCGGCACTGTTCTCAGCTTGATAATGAAATTCATTGTAGAAGCAGGCAGGCAGTGCTGCTGGTGGTGGTGGTGAAAATCCTTGCAATTACTTTAGGATTATAGCCAAATATTTGTGGTCTATTTACGGGTGATTTGTGTTTGAGTTTTACGTGATTTCACGTTGCTTTGCGTTTGGAGCATTTTTAGGGGTATTTTTGTCGTTGTCGTTGTTGTTGTTGCAATTCTATTGTTAAACGTTTTGTGTGCCAGCAAGGACTTGCGCATTATTTCTGGCGCCATAAAAATTAAACAGAACAACAGGAATTTTGTGTTTTTTTTTTTTTTTTCTAAAATGATGGGAAATTTTTTATAAAAAAAAATGTGGAAACAAGGGCAATTGATTCAAAATCGTCAACAAAAAATAATTCTTATTTCACTCGATATTTTCTAAACTAAAAAACTCTTTGAAATGTTTAAAAAGGAATGAGGATAAGAATTAGATCCGAGAAAAAGCGAATCGATTTTAAACATAATTTTAAAGAAACGTCTGAAGCTAGAATCTTTATATTTTGAACAAGGATCAGTGTTGGTCAGTCTTCTTCGAAATTTCAAAAATGATTTCCTTTAAGATACAAAAAAAAAATCTCAACAAACTCAAATCATACTCAAAACCCATTCCCTCTTAAAAAATTGGAAAAAGATTTTTTTCAAAAAAAGTTTCAAAAATCAATACTCATTTCCTCCGATTTTATCTAAGTCCATTTTTTTTAATATTTTCAAAGAGATTAATAATATATAAAAAATCAAAGAAAATTTTTTGTAACCTGGTGTTGGAAATAGTAAAATGTTTTCATACTTCCAAAAATTCGACATGGACCCCAAACACAACCTCATCTCCTACCTCGCTCTACCCAAAAAAATCCGAGTTTTTACCGAAGCACTTTTGTTGGATTCTGCGTATTGTCATTCGGCAATGTGACAAACAAATGAAGGGGAAACGATTGACACACGACCATCAACTCTATTATTCACAAGAATGTCGGAAAGTGTGCAGAGGGGAGGGGGGAAAAGGGGAGGAGGTTATGCTCTGTGATGAATACGATGGGGTGGGAGAGATATTTGAGTTTATCATTCTGTTGTTGTTTTTCTTCTACGCTCATCTACTTATATCACCATCATAAAATATAATCGCTAACAGACTTGCCAGAGATAATCATTACTTGAATTTATGGTTTTCACATTTTTCGGCTGCTGTGACAATGAGTTTGAGTTTTTATTTAGTGGCCGATTTAACTAGGACATGTTGTGCTTGTTAGCACTCTCAGCGGGATATTAAGAATTTAGATAATTTGTAAACAAACTGGTTATTTGGATTTTTATGGATAATACGGAGAATCTTTTAAGGATATAAAGCTACAAGTTGTTTAAATTTGAAAGCACTGTCATGAAATGAAAATTAAGTAAGGAAAATTTATTTTTATATGTTTGGGTCCCAAATATTATAATGGGTTCTTCTAACAGAGATTCCATGTCCCCCACTTTAAGAACAGGCCAAGGTCTTTCTGCAACATATCATTCCAATTAAAATAATAATAAGAATTATTTATGTCTTCAATAACTTTTTTTTTAATTGTTATGTTTTGTTTTCCTTGTTTTAACAAGCGGAACTGAGAAAAGTTTTTTTTCTGACACATATTGATCCATTTAGAGTGATAATAAAAATTATTTTTTTAAATTTTAAATTTATTTTTAATTAAAAAAATAAATGTATTTTTTTTTTTAATTTTTATTTTTTGAAATTTTATTTTGCACTCTTTCCTTACTTTCTGTTCCCTCGATATTTTGCACCGATTGTTTACACCAATTTATTTTCTTCTGATTTTTTTCTAATAATTATTTATTTTGTTTTGTTTACAAAATCTATTATCAGGTATTTATTTATTTCCCGACGTTAATAACTCCACTGATGCTTTAGTTAATGACGGTGTTGCCTGTACGGGCACTTCATCGGCTGGTGCCACTATGGTCACCTCAGGTATGACGATATTTTGCTTTGTGGGTGTGGCAAGGGGTTTATTCACAAATTTTGGGGGAACAAATATATTCTTCTTTTGGTGATGGGGACAATATGTCCTGCACATGTCAAAAATGCACAAAAAATATATAATGACGTAAAAGAGATAATAGTCAAGAAATCTCAAAATAAATTTTGAGATTTTTGAAATTTTTATTTTACCACAATTACGTAAAAGCTACCAATGTTTAAAATTTGAGTTACGAGAAACTGTTTCTCTTCCTTTCACTCACAACTGTCCCGTTTTAACAAGTTTGTTATGCACCATTTGAAATGTAAGTTCCTGGATTTAAAAAAACTGTTCAAACATCGTTGGGCCACAAATGATTTTATCCACCAAATCCTGGTTTGCACTCTTAAAACTCAATTTCTTCTGATTCATATAAACAATATGTCAGTTCTGTTTGCACTTTTTAATATAAGGATATAAGCAATTTTTTCATAATTTTTTTTTATTAATTTGTATGTTTCAATTTTTATTTAGTTTATTTATGTTATTATTTTTTTTTTTTCAATTTTGTAATTATTTTTCCACTAGATTTTGAGCACTCTCTTCCGAACCGGCACCGTTTTGTTTTTGTTGCACTATGGGCTCTTTAATGCCACTCTTCATTTTGTTTATTACGTTAATGTTAATTTGTTGAATTTTTTTCTTCATTTTATTTATTATTTAGATATTTATTCATATTCCTCAGAAGTAAAATCATCGGCGGATTCATTATTACCTATCGGTGTATCATGTAGTGATACATCTGGTACTGGTGTCGTGACAGGTATGGCAATTTTCGGCAAAAATGTTTTCACTTGTAATACTAGCGGTAGTTAATTAAAAAAAATCAAAATATTTGATATTTTAAAAATCAAAAAATTGCGAGAATATTTGAAACGGCAAAGCAAAAAATGTTACATGACCTACTCCATCTGGATGAAGTTTAACATTAAGCGCAAACGATTTGATTTTCAAATGGAAACGAAATGAAAATCGAACAAGCCATTCAAAAGTTCGAAGTAAGAGAAATTATGTGGGAAGCCTTCAAAAGGGCAGTTGAAAGTTCCTATAATGTTCACAAGATTTTTAAAATCCTTGATTTTTTTATATTTTCAATAAGTTTTTAATTTTTTTTTTTGCACAATTTTTTTACTCTGCACCTTAGTATTGTTGGTTTTTGTATTTATATTTTGTTAAAAAATTTTAATTTGTTTTTCAAATTATTTTTCCACGTTCCATTAGATATCTATACCTTTCCGTCCGATGTGAAATCCGTACCGGTTTCCATAGTAACGGACGTTGTCTCATCGAATCTTGGCCATTCATCAGGTATGATCGATTCTCTATCCACTGCACTCCACTTGTTTGCGGCTTCAGATTTTCTGAGATGAAGTTCGTGAAAAAAAAATGCAACGTTGTTAGCTATTGAAGATTTGGTAATAGAAAATTATTCACTCAAAATTGTTGGTGTTCAAAAAAAAAAAACTTTTTAGAGGATAAGAAGATAGCTACCTAAAAAAAACTGAGAGAGTGAGAGAGAAAGAGAGAATGTTATCTACGTCATTGAAATAACTTATAAATATTATCCACGTTATTGAAATAACGTATAAATATTATCCACGTTATTGAAATAACGTATAAATATTATCCGCTTTTTTGAAATAAGGTAAAATTATTATCCACGTTATTGAAATAACGTATAAATAATATCCACGTTGTTGAAATAACGTGTAAATATTATCCACGCTATTGAAATAACATAGAAATAATATCCACGTTATTTAAATAACGTAGAAACAGCATTCACTTTATTGGATTAACGTATTTAAAATAACGTAAAATTATTATCCAAGTTATTGAAACAACGTAGAAACATTATCCACGTTTCTGAAATGCCTGCGAAATCGGTTTTAAAAAATGTTCCGGTTTCCTTCTAAATGGTTGTTATCTATAGCAAGTTTTTAATTCCAAATTAGAATAAAACTTTGAAAAGCACCTAAGCTCGGCCGGGTCGAACTTTTTTCATACCCTGCACCATTTAAAAGGTACTTCCAAATTTTAAAAAATCCCCTGAAAATTTCCCTATAATTCTAAAAATTCCCAATATCAGGTATAACGGTTATATGGATCTATACGAAAACGTGGTCTTTTTTCAGCCAAGAGAAGCTGGTGCCTATTATGAACTTCAAAGTTTGACATAATAATGAAAAAGCACCTAAGCTCGGCTAGGTCGAACTTTTTTATACCCTCTACCCCTCAACCATTCGAAGGGAACTTGAGAAATGTAAAAAAATCTGTTGAAAATGTACCAATAATTTTAAAAATTCCGAATATCAGATGTTACGGTTATATGGAGCTATACGAAAACGTGGTCTTTTGCAGTCAAGTATCTGCCAGAGAAGCTGGCGCCTATTACCAACTTCAAATACCAAGTTTGACATAATAATGAAAAAGCACCTAAGCTCGGCTAGGTCGAACTTTTTTATACCCTCTACCCCTCAACCATTCGAAGGGAACTTGCAAAATGTAAAAAAAATCCGCTGAAAATGTAGCTATAATTTTAAAAATTCCGAATATCAGATGTTACGGTTATATAGAGCTATACGAAAACGTGGTCTTTTTCAGCCAAGTATCTGCCAGAGAAGCTGGTGCCTATTACGAACTTCGAATACAAAGTTTGACATAATAATGAAAAAGCACCTAGGCTCGGCCGGGTCGATTTTTTTAAATTGTCTACCCCTCTACCATTCGAGGGGAACTAGCAAAATGTAAAAGAACCGCTGAAAATTTGGCTATAATTTTAAAAATTCCGAATGTCAGATGTTACGGTTATATGGAGCTATACGAAAACGTGGTCTTTTACAGTCAAGTATCTGCCAGAGAAACTGGCGCCTATTACCAACTTCAGATACCAAGTTTGACATAATTCTGTTGAAAAATGTGGCTAATATTATCAAAATACCGAATATTTATGAGGGTTTGGACCTGTACAGGAAATTTTCTGTCCAGGGAGGTAGTACCCATTACGAACTCTAAATATCAAATTTTAAGCAATTCCGATAAAAACTCTTTAGTCACAGTCATCAAAATACCGAATATCTGGGTCTCTGTTTCCTACATCCTGGGAACACATACTCCAAACTTACAGCAAATTTTGCTGGAAATTGTGACTAAAACACCAAATAACCTTAAATCTACCGGGAACAGTTAATTATATGGGGCCTATACCAAAACATGGACCGGCATAGCTCATTTTCAATACCAGTATTGCGATTCTCTAATTCATTTTTGAGTTAGTTGAGATTTATCTCTCTCTCTCTGTCTCTCTCTCTCTCTCTCTCAATCGAATGACAAACAACATTAAATGTTTTCCACCTTATCCAGTTATGTATCTAGAAACCTTTACCCTATTGGAATGAAATGAAAGATCTATTCTTGTTATCCAATTAGGTTCTCAAAAACTATATATTTAAGTTATTGCCTATTTTGAGTGAATATTTTCCATAGATTTAGCTGGTGTTGGTAAATTTTGTGTTTTACAGAGTATTCAGAAAGAGAGTGACAGAGAAAATATCCCCTCACAATCACTCTCTTTTTTTCGAATAAAAATGTGTCTTTTCTCTCTCGAATCCCCACCAATTTCGTTCTGCACAATTTAGTATTTAGTTTTGAGATTACACTGCACTGTCAAAGTATTGCACAATTTGTCATTTACTGTTTACGTTTCTTTGGTTTTAATTTTTTTTTTCCATTTAATTTTTCATTTTCACGAAAATTCCTCAGATCTTTATACATTTCCCTCATCGTCTGAGGTTAAGACCACACCGACAACGACCCTGGTCAATGAAGGTGGGTCATGCAATGACACAGCGTCGTCAGGAAATGGAAATAATGGCAATAATGTTACAGGTATGATGTTCCGTGTCCAAAAACATTGGCAGGTTCACTGAGGTGTTGGTGTAAAATGCACAAAGATGTATTTAGATTTTTTTTGATTATTATTGGAAAACACATAAAAATAAGGGCCTTTTTAACTGCAAGAAAAAATGTTTTTCTATTTTGCTGACGCATAAAGCCATAACTATTTTATGTAGTACATTTGATTTTAAGTTTTAATTATTGTTCTTTCTTTCCCTCCTTATCTTATTTATATTCATAGATATCTACACATTTTCCTCTGATGTTAATGCCTCCACAGAAGGTATGCTCTCTGATGGCTCCAATAATGGATCAAGTGGAACCGGTGCTGGAGGTAGGGATCTTGTGGGTTCATTATCGATCTCGGTTGGAGTGGTCACGTTGGTCATCTGCTAACGTTTCCTTTGCAACGTTAATGTCTCTTACATTGGCTTCATTAGGTTTTTCTTCATTAGCTATGGGGTCGATGGGTGTTTTAGGTTCTGGTATTTCTGTATTTATGTTGTGTATTTTATTAGCTGGTTATGCGGTTTTGGATGTTTTAGCATCTGATTATTTAGTCATTGTTGTATTTGTTGTATCCATTCCTGTAGTTATATTTGCTGTATTTGTGTTATCCATTCCTGTAGTTATATTTGCTGCTGGATTCGGTTTTGGTTGTCCATAATGTGTAATGGTTACATTGCAATTACGATGGATTTCTGCAATGAAACCCAAATTCAGAATATTAGCACAAATTTTAAGGATATATATTTTCTTGAAGTCTACAGGTAAGCCTCTCACTAATGGTCACATTTTTTTGTTTTTAATTACCATCACTTATTTTAAAAATTGTTATAAATTTAATGCCATTAGCGAAAGGTTTCCCTGTATTTATCGCATGTAGTTGTTGTCTTTGGGTTAATTTTGCACATAAAAAATTATCATTGCTGCACTTGCACAAGCTTTGTAGGGAAAATGTCTAAGTTTTGCAAAGTTTTTCTTACCATGTTTTTGATTTGGTTTATTATTTTTATTATAATCATCATCGTCATCATCGAGTTCGTCATATAACAAAATTGAAAGAAAATCATAAAGTAAAGAACTTAACTGAAATGAAAAAAAAAAATAATAATTCTCTTGAAAAACAACAAGCGTAAAGGCGACTCTTTCAACAACGAGAGAATTAGCCAGAATCTATTATGGAATTATGTTCTTAAAACTTTAGAAGTTCCCAGGAACTGAGAATTTTAAAAGCTCTTGGTTTCTGAGTGAATAAAATTGTTTTTTTTTTAACTTTTAGTAATTAAAACTTATATTTAATAATCTATTGCTTTGATTCACATCACGCCTAAAGGTATGCAACAAATTTTTCCAACTCGGCATTCAATGAAGATAATGGGTAAAAATCAGTCTAAATTTGGAAAAAGTAACATTTATACTTAGATCCAATGGCAATTGAACACCAATATGCCCAAAGTGAGGTCTAGGCGATGTGCTGGCCTTGTTCCGATAAATTTGTAGAGATTTTACTCAAACAAAACAACAAATTTTTCATTGAACTTTTCTCAAAATTGATTTGAAATCAAATTAGGCTACTTCGAAGTAAAATGCTTTATTTTATTTGATTGAATTTGGATTCCACTTAAATTGCAAACCTTTTATTAATTTTTACAATTTATTTTCAAATAAAAAAAATTAATTAATTAATTTTCTTACACTGCTCCCTGCTTTCTCTAAACTATTTGATGGCGGTACAACACTTCCATGACACACTCTTGTAAAATGAAACACAAGACACATGAAAATTAAATAATTTTTCAACATTTCGCCAAAATGCACTTTGTTGCAGGCCAAAAAGTAGCACGGCACGTTCTGAAACTATTTCAAGCTTCACATCAGTCTCTTATATTTATACCATTTGGACAGAAAAAATAGTCTGCGTTAAACGTGTTCAAACGTTAATTGTTGCACTTGTAAAGCTATATATTTTCAGGTGCACACAATATATTCGATACATTTATTATGCTGCTTAAAATGGTAATTAAGAATAATGTATGTATGTATGTATGTCATACAGAAGTTTTCGTTAAGTGACATAGAATTACGCTACGAAACAAGTGGAAGCAAAATTTTGAGTAAAGTGAATACTAAAGAGGTTTCTATGTCCGTGAATTAAAAAGGGAAGTTACACAACGAAAGGTGAATAAATATCGGACCAATAGATATATGGGAAAGAACTCCATCCAATTTTGGCTGATATTACAAACAGGTTGAGCAATATTACCATGAAATCGAATAAAGATATATATGGCAGCTATAACTATAGGTAAACAGATGTTGATAAAATTTGGCAGTGGTATTTCCGAGCTGTATGATATATCTTGTTGTGGAGTACATATTGTGAATGTGAGTGACCTAAACACTAAATAGGTTGAAACATATATATATATAGGAGCTATAGCTATATCTGAAGCGATTTTCATCAAATTTGAATTACTTGCTTCTATGATGAATTAGGTTGGATGTGCGGAAATATATCCTTCTTGGACCAATATTACACATACAGGCTGAGATAAAAAACTGCAACAAAGTCAAAGGCCATAATTTTTACATTTAAAAAAAAAAATTATAGAATGAAAGCCAAAAATGTCGGCAGTAGCAACAAATTTAAGAATAAGTTTGGATTTGTCCGAATTGGTCACCTTTTGCACGAATTATGGCCTTCAAACGGCCAATGAAACCGGCACACGCTGCCCGAATATTGCTCTGCGTTATTTTGAGGTGATTGACACTTTGGTATTTTTTAGTGCCAACCTTGCTTTCCAAAATACTCCAGACACAATAATCCAACGGATTGGTATCTGGAGATTTTGGTGGCCATTGTGAGCTGGAAATTATGTGAGGCACCTCATTTTGTAACCATTCTTGGGTGGCACGTGCTGAGTCCTGTTGGAATGTCCAAGGTCTGCGGCAAAAATGTTTGCGTATCCAAGGCTTTAATATATCCTCCAGAATATTTTCGCGATAATATTCGGTATTTATTCTGATGCCGATACGAGCGGAGATGGTCGATTAATACGAGCGGAGAGCGACCATCGGCTGTTATGGCAGACCACACCATCACCATGGCCGGTGCTTGAGTTCTGGTGACCATCCGAAGGTGCACATTTTTAGCTGACCTCTTTGGCAAGTAAACAGGATCTTTTTGTTTGTTTACAAACTGCTGGACAACGAATATTTTCTCATCGGAGAAAACTAAATTCGGCAGTTCACCACTTTCGGTCAAGCGCAGCAACTCTTTAGCTCTTTTGAGTCTATGTTCTTTCTGTTGCAGTGTAAGTTCTTGCACTTTTTGGAATTTCAATGACTTTACCCCGAGCTCATTTTTCAATATTTACCGAATGGAATATTGCGATATGTTCAGCTCACGAGCCAATTTTCGGCCACTGCGACGCGGGTTTCGATCAAGTCACTTCTTTACTTTTCGAACCATTTCTTCAGATGTTGCTGTTTTCTTCCGTCCACTTCCTTGACATCGTGCTACGCTACCAGTATCACGGTAACGAGCGATGATACGAGACACAAAATATTTACATTTAAATTCTGGAGTGCTCTAACGATAGCCACTTATGGTTTTCCAGCCAAATATAAAGAAATCACACTAACACGCTTGAATTCCATCACGAATAATTTTTTTTCTGGAAAATTCTCACCAAAATGCTTTTATACGCTCGTAAACTATATATAAAGCTGTCACTGGAATAATTTTATCAGCTGTCGTACGAGTGGTTTAGAAATAACCTTAGTCTGAAGTTGGTTGCAGTTTTCTCATCTCTATATATAGGATATATAACTATCTGAAGCGATTTTTGCTTCTACGATAATTTAGGTCGGATGTGTTGAAATACATCCTTCTTGGACGAATATTACCGTATGCTGCCCAATAAAATTGAAATCGGACGAAAATATATATGTATGAAACCTATATCAAAATTCTGGCTAATAGGGTTTGCTTTTGGGCCTATCAAGTGACAAATTCGCATTTTTAGTCCAAATTGGACTTACCACAGTATGTCAATAAATTTTTTATCGATTCTGAATAGATTATGAAATAATTATTTTAAAATGCATACAAATTATGTTTTTTTTCTCCTAAATATTAATAAAAATCAGAAACAAAACATAGCTGTTTGCAAAAAACACAAATGCAACAACACGCGTCATACTTCCACTTGACTTTAGGGAACAATATAATTTCACAACAATAATAACAACCAAAATGACGGAGGCGATGATGATTATGAGTTTTAAGTTTTCACTGGAAGTAGTTAAGACTATTTATTTTTTAATATATATTTTTTTAATTTTATTATTAGTGTTATTGTTATTGTAAAAAGCACAAACCCATGAATGATGCACTTTTAGTTATGGATTTTTTGCCTTTATTGCTGGTTGGTGTTAAGCAAAACTGTTGGTACATAGGCATTTAGTACCCCTACACCCCGCTGACCCCATATTCACTGTGGAATATTAAAATATATATTTGTGGTGTTGTAGTTATACGCTGAAAATATTCATAAGTGTAGAATTGTACAAACATACATACTTTTAAATTTAGCCACATTAAAGTTGAGTTTTTTTTTTATTTTCAAAGCAACCATTGTTATTATTTAACATTTTTGCAAAATTCTATGTAATTACACTTGGGTTTTGGTGGATTTTTTTTTGTTTTCTTAACCCTTTAGCTACCGATGATTTTGGCAATGGCTGTGAAATAAATAACTACAAGGATATTTATAGAAATAAGCATATATATATATATATATATATATATATATATATATATATATATGTATATATATATATATATATATATATATATATATATATATTGTTTAATTTAACAGTTTATGATGCAGTTATATGAAAAAAATTGCAGGAAATAATAATTAATATCCTGCGAACACAAGGCCCAATATTTAGCAAAAAATAAATAAATAAATAAATAAAACACAGTTACTAATAACTCGGAACTTATTAATACCCAAAAAAAATCAGGAATATAGCTCGTTGCACATATTTTCTTAAAAATAAGAAAAAACTCGTTCCAAAAATAAAAAATATTGTCTTTATAAAGTTTTGTCACAATTCTTTCCTTTATAAGATTTCTCATTTCAATGTTTCGAAGAAGAAGAACTTTTGAACATGAGGCCTTCTCAAAGGGAAACAGGATCAGGTGTAGGAAGTCTAATGGAGAAAAAGAAATCAGGATTAACTCAATTTACATGGAAAACTGAATTCAGTTTTTATTATTTTTCCTTGATATATTGGGGCGAATTTATATTTTTTCGGGACTTTCTCATCTCGCCTATAAAAAACTAATTCGCGACATTTATGTTTAATCCCTTAAACCGTCTATACTAACGACAAGTTTAAGGCAAGAGTCATTATTTCCCTTTAAGTCCAACATACTTAAGTACTCTATAAAGGCTCCCCTAAGTTCGTGAAAAGAGACTTTAACGATATCAATCGTTTAAACAGACTCCCTTGAGGTCTTCGGTACAAACTTCTTGTGAGGCCGTTGATTCAAACTTTTGTGAGGTTGTCTGAAATAACTCTCTTACGGCCATCTATAGAAAAAACCTCGAGGCCTACAATATAAACACCCTAGAGAACTACTACTATTGCTCTTCTCAGGTCTTCTAGAGAGATTCCCCTCAGTTCCTCTAGAAAGACTGCTCTCAGCTGATCTAGAAAAACTCCCCTCAGCTCCTCTAGAAAGACTCCCCTTTGTTCGTCTAGAAAACCTCCCCTCAGCTCCTCTAGAAAAACTCCTCTTAGCTCCTCTAGAAAGACTCCGCTTAGTTCAGCTCGTCTGGAAAGTCTCCCCTTAGCTCGTCTAGAAAGACTCCCCTCAGCTCCTCTAGAAAGACTCCCCTCAGCTCGTCTAGAAAACCTCCCCTCAGCTCCTCTAGAAAAATTCCCCTTTCTCCGCTTAGTTCAGCTCGTCTGGAAAGGCTTTCCATCAGCTGGTCTAGTAAGAGTCCCCTCAGCTAGTCTATAAAGACTCCCCTCTCCATCAGCTGGTCTAGGAAGTCCATTGGCGGAAGTGAAATCAATTAAATTCTTCAATTTACAAAGAGAACTGAATTCAGTGTTTATTATTTTTTCTTTCCATCAGCTGTTTTGGAAAGACTCCCCTCAGCTCAACTTCATTCAGCTCTCCTAGCAAGACTCCCTTCAGCTCTTTTGGAAAGACTCAAAATAAATTATCCAGAATGAATCCCTTCAGCTCGTCTAGAAAAACGGCCCTCAGTTTGTCTAGAACTCTCACTTTAGCTATAAAAGACCCATATAAACTCCCGTCTATAAATAATTTTCCTTCTCCTGTCTAAAACTCTCAGCTCCTGCCTATAATGATCACGAACTTACTTGTTCCCATCTAGAGTCTATAAGTCTTCTACTAGCCTCAGTCTATAAACACTTCTCTTAGCTCCCCACTCCCGCTTTCATGTGGAACTGACCAGCTTATATTGACCTATCTTTTAAGATTCGCAAGATTGAATGAATTCCATTTTTCAATTATTATTCTACACATCACAACCTTATTTTTTCCAGGGCAAACAGGATAGATGAAAGGTCAAAGTTTTCCTCCATTTTCTGCACCGCACCTTCTCTCAAAAAAAAAAGAAATTTAAAATATATATATATACCTCTAGCCTCAATAAATTTCAGCTATGCCAAAGGAAATCGTCATTGGTAGCGAAAATGGTTAATTTTGCCAATGCTTTAGTATTTGTTTAATTAGTTTTAGTTCGTAGCTTATGGAGAGATAAAGTTCTCTGATTGTATTTACAAACATATGTACAAGCATACATT